AGTCCAGAGGACGAGTCCCAGGAGCTAGCCCAGTCCAGAGGACGAGTCCCAGGAGCTAGCCCAGTCCAGAGGACGAGTCCCAGGAGCTAGCCCAGGCCAGAGGACGAGTCCCAGGAGCTAGTCCAGGCCAGAGGACGAGCACCGCGTCTCCGGGTCCTGTGCCCAGTCTGCTGTCATCCATGCTTGCTCATTGTTCTGTCTTCTGGGCGAGGCGGGAGCGAGGGTCCTGGGACACCATCCCTGAACAGAAAGCAGAGTACCCTTCGTTATCTTTCTGCTTCCAGTCAAACCAGGCAACGTGAGGAACATCATTCAGCACTTTGAGAACAACCAGCCGTATGATACCCCAGAACCTGGGACGCAGCGGCTGTCCACTGGAAGCTTCCCTGAGGACCTGCTGGAGAGCGACAGGTGAGGGGGGCCAGGTGCCACCTCCTTGAGGAGGGGAGCCTGGGCGGGGTCTGCAGCCAGTGTCGATCCCAGCTACCTCGTCCACTCCCCTAGACCGTGAGGTTCCCGCCGCAGACCTCGCAACCGCTCCCCCAGCCTCCCCGCCTGGGGCTTGTCAGGAAAGGACCTGCCGTGTGCTGGCGATCAGGCCGGCGGAGGACGGAGCCCAGCCCCTGACCTCCCAGCCCAGGGACTGCTTGCCCTTAGCATTTGCTCCAGTTCACCTGGGCTACTGGGCAGCGTCTGTGCCAAGGCTGGACTAGAGCAGCTAGTCCTGACAGCGTAGGTGACAAGGCCAGGAAGACCGTGGGGCAGGGAGGCAGGGGGAGGTCCCAGAAATAGCGAGGTCACACGGAGACAGTCGTGGCGCCTGTGAGGAAGAGCGCTGGAGATGGGGTTCTGCCGTCTCAGAGCAAACCGCTCTTCTCAAGAACGAGAGGGGTCTGCAAGCATGTTGTCCACCTTGGCCAGGGTTCTAATGAGAACTCTTCTCTGGCTGGAAACGTGCTCTTGGACTTGCTCTCGACTGTGGTGGGACAGCAGTTCCGTCCTGTCTCACACTCTCCAGCCAGCTCTCAGTGAAAACCACCTGTGGTCGGAAAGCTCCGAGCACGTACCTTCAGTCACCCTCGAGCCGTAGTCCCCATGGCCCCGCGTGTGCAGAAATAACACACGTGTGCACCCGAGCCTGAGCCCCTGAGCAGGCGCGCACCCACTCACCAGGGAGCGGCCTGGGTAGTCACCCATCTTACCTCCAAAACCATCATCACGCCGTGAGTCTGCCGTTCCTGCCCACACAAGGTCACTCCTGCTTGTAGTAAGCCCCTAAGCTGCGTGAGTGCGTGCGGGAAGACTGCCGTAGTGAGAACAGAGGTTTAAGGGAAGAGGAAGGTTACGTTTGTCCTGAGCTGAGAGATTGAGTTCTAATATTAGCGAGTGAACTAAATGTATAAAGTATGTGACGTGAAGGCCTGATGTCACGGATGCATCAAATGAATGGTTATATAGACGGAACATCAACATTTTGAGAATAAGGTGAGGCCTTTTGCAAACTGGTGTTCTTGAAGTTGCCGGGTAATGACCCGGGCCCCGAGGCACTCACCAGGCTCCCGGGTCCACGGTCAGCTCGCCGGCCCTCTCGGCAGCACTGTGGGGCAGGGGTCGGCCGAAGAAAGGGGCCCGCGGTTCCAGAAGGCAGTGTTCTAGGGCCTGGGGGCCAGCGGAGGGTGTGCCCCCCCGCTCCTCACCCGTGGGGACTGGGAGGCTCAGCGCGGGAGCCTCGCCGGCGGCCCGTTGGGGACACTGGGGCAGGTGCTGTAGGCAGACTCGGTCGGAGGCTGTTCTGAGGAGATGAGCTGGCAGCGGGGCTTCTAACCCTCCGGACCCGGGGCGGCTGCGCTTGGGTCCTGGGCAGTTCGGAGAGACGCGGTGAACGGAGACCGAGCCGTTTGGCTCGTCTGCGGCAGCCTGCTGCGCTCTCCAGGCCGTCCGTGGTCCTGCCTGCAGGCCGGGATGTACATGACGTCGGCAGGGCTGCGCGGGGAGGCGCCATCCGGGGGCAGCCAGGGTCAGGGGTGCCATCGTCACCGTGCTCGTGCACTGCAGGGCGCAGACAGGAGTGGCACCGGCCATCAGCCTCTCAAGGCCCAGGGACACACGGTGGCCAGACGTGGCTGCCGGGGGGCAGCCTCCTGCCCGTCAGGAGCCAGGCCCCCCCGAGCCGGCCGGCCCCCAGGAGGGGAAGTGCAAGCCAGGAAGTGTGCTGCAGGATAGGAACGGGAGACCCCACGCCGCAGCTGAAGCCGGAGCCCGGCGGCGGGTAGACTGTCCGCCAGGCCTGCCAGTGAGGAGGCCAGCACGAGCGTGAGAGGGAGGCCCCTACGCCTCCCTGGTAGGAAGTCCTATAAAAGGAGAGCAGAGTCCGCGGTGGGGGCTGACTTGCTCCGGAGCCGAGGGCGAGAGGGACTGGCCAGCACGCGGCCCAGGAGCAGGGCCTCTGGTGTCCACAGCTGTCCTGGTGGGCATCGGGTCTTTGGCGTCTGTCCACAGCACACGTCTGGTCTGTTGGTCCCGAATTTCACCTTCCTGATGGGTCACGGGGAGGATGAGAGGCTGAGCAGAGGCGGGAGATTGTAGGGCAGCGGCGGGAGTTGTCCCTGGGAAGTTCGGCCCCTGCAGGGGCTAGGGGAGAACCCCTGAGTCAGGGCAGCAGACCATAGCCGTCCAGGCTGCCAGACCCCAGGGTGTCTTGCCCTGCTCCCCCAGCTCCCGCTCAGAGATCCGCCTGGGTCGCTCTGAGAGCCTGAAGGGCCGGGAAGAGATGAAGCGGTCCCGGAAGGCAGAGAACGTGCCCCGCTCTCGCAGTGATGTGGACATGGACGCTGCCGCGGAGGCCGCCCGCCTCCACCAGTCAGCCTCATCCTCTGCCTCCAGTCTCTCCACCAGGTGGGGGGGGCTCGGGCAGCCGGGGGGGCTCGGGCAGCTGTGGGGCCTCAGGGCCGAGGGGCAGCGGGTGCTGAGAGCTGACTTCTCTCCACAGGTCTCTGGAGAACCCAACCCCTCCTTTCACCCCCAAAATGGGCCGCAGGTGAGTGAGGCGCCCCAGCTGCACTCCCACCCCCGAGCGGCTGGTGGAGCGTGCATCTCGTCTCCACAGCCGCTGGTTTCCCACGGGCACGGGGCAAGCGGGGAGCACAAACTCCTCGTGTGCGTCCTTCCTCCTCATGAAGCTGCCCCCTTTCCCCCAGGAGCATTGAGTCCCCCAGCCTGGGCTTCTGCACAGACGCCCTCCTCCCCCACCTCCTAGAGGATGACCTGGGCCAGCTGTCGGACCTGGAGCCAGAGCTGGACGCCCAGAACTGGCAGCACACGGTGGGCAAGGACGTGGTGGCCGGGCTAAGCCAGAGGGAGATTGACCGGCAGGAGGTCATTAACGGTGAGGGTGTGCGCCTCGCACTCGGCGGGGAGTAAGTCGGACGGCGCCGGGGGGACGGGACCAGGTCGACGTCACCGTTCCTGCCCTGGGGGTGGCGACGTTGCCGGACCTTCAGACACCAGCGCTCCATTGCCTCAGAAGTGAGGTGGTTTGGGGTGACGGTCGTCACTTCGGATACCTGCTGACCTCCCCTGCTTTGTCCTCCTCCCATCCTGCAACACCGCGCTCAGAGCTGTTCGTGACGGAAGCCTCCCACCTGCGCACGCTCCGGGTCCTCGACCTGATCTTCTACCAGCGGATGAAGAAGGAGAACCTGATGCCCCGGGACGAGCTGGCCCGGCTCTTCCCCAACCTGCCTGAGCTCATCGAGATCCACAGTGAGGGGCCCGTCCTTCCCGCCCGCTGTCCCCCCACACACACTCCGGCTAGCCTTCAGGTCTCTGTCCCCGGTCCACCCCCATGCCAGGGCCTCCCTGAGCAGACGACCCTCACCAGCTCTCCCTGGCCCGGAAACCAGCATTCCCCGCCCAGACCCTTCCCCGCCGCCCCCCTCCAGCCCTGCTGCCATGAGCTCCCCTCTCTGGTCGTGGAGGGCCCGGCAGCGCAGCTCCACCCCAGGCTTCCGTGTCCCTTCTCTCTGCCCCAGATTCCTGGTGCGAGGCCATGAGAAAGCTCCGGGAGGAGGGCCCCATTATCAAAGACATCGGTGATCTCATGCTGGCTCGGGTACGCCGGGAGGAGACGGGTCCCCTTTCCCATGGCGGCAGGAGTGGTGGAGGATGGCATGGGGGACAGGGGGGCGACGCCTGGGCGGTGTCCCTTGTGCCACAGTTCGACGGCCCCGCCCGGGAGGAGCTCCAGCAGGTGGCTGCCCAGTTCTGCTCCTACCAGTCCATCGCCCTGGGGCTCATCAAGACCAAGCAGCGCAAGGAGAGCCGCTTCCAGCTCTTCATGCAGGTACGTCCGCGGCCAGGAGGGTGAGCCGGGGTCACCGGGGACCTCCTGGATTGCCCTCCTGGCCCCCCTGGGGTGGGCGCGCTGGCCTCTCCTCCACCCTGGGGGGCGGCCCAGCGCCTCCCCGCACCCACCCACTGCCCCAGAAACACTGGACCATGCCCGCTCTCGAGACAGACCGCTGCTCTCTGAAAGGAGCCCCGATTCGCAGTCAGAAGGCCCTGTTCACCTCCTAGTACCTGTGGGCCTGTAGGCGGATGTCCGCCTCCTCGTCCGTAAGATGGGCGCAGCAGCTACTCAGTGGTGTCTGTCTGGCCACGTCCCTTCCTTGGGTTCTCTCCCTGCCCTCATCCACCTTGCCCTAAATATTTAAGGAGTTGCTCTCTGGGGTCAGGACCCACTTGGGATTTTCCCTCCCCTCCGGGCCCCGCGCCCATCGGCCAGCTCCTGACCAGGTTGACCGCTCTCCGTGCAGGAGGCCGAGAGCCACCCTCAGTGCCGGCGGCTGCAACTCAGAGACCTAATCATCTCGGAGATACAGCGGCTCACCAAGTACCCCCTGCTGCTGGAGAGCGTCCTCAAGCACACGGACGGTAGGGCGTGGGGGGCACGGCCCCACTCAGACCCCGCTCTAGCACTGACCTTCTCTGGTCTTCGGGGTCTTCGTCCCGGCCTTGTTAGGGTCAGTCTCAAAGAAAGTGACTGTACCCGGGCTTTGAGGAAGACAAGGCCGTGGGAGGAGGGAAGGGCCGCTCCAGCCTGTGTGTGGCCCCGGGGCAGATCTGATGGAAGCATCCAGGTGCACGCAGGGACTCCCCTGTGACCATGGTCCCACACCGGGGCCAAGGTGCATTCAGCGCCCGTCCATCCCCCTGCTGGGCACCGCCTCTGTGCGGTGCCCAAAAGTACAGCCCCCTGGGGTCCTGAGCATGCCTCCGTGCCCTCGCATTTGGGGCGTTGGCTTTCGGGTATGGAGTGGCACCCCAGAGACTGTCATTGCCCCCGGGCCTCCCCTGTGTCCCTGGGGCTGGTTGCGGTCCAGACGGCAATTCCCAAGAGCTGCTGGTGTCTTCAGAGAGCAGCGGTCTGGAACCGAGGACCCTCAGTGACAGGGACCCTTCTGTTCGAGGTCCTCAATTAGGCCAAGGCGGCGGTCCTGTGCCCATGCCTGCCGGCTTGCCAGGCACGGCGGGTTCCAACAGGTTTCTCAGGAGCCCCGACCGCCACCTCTGCCCCATCGGCAGGTGGCACTTCTGAGCACGAGAAGCTCTGCCGGGCGCGGGACCAGTGCCGGGAAATCCTCAAGTATGTGAACGAAGCGGTGAAGCAGACGGAGAACCAACACCGACTGGAGAGCTACCAGAAACGCCTGGACACCACGTCCCTGGAGAGGGCCAGCAACCCCCTGGCGGCAGAGTTCAAGGTGGGAGGCCCAGCACGGCCAGCCCCCCACACCCACTTGGGGCACCCCTGGGAGCAGAGCCGGGGCCTGGAGGGACTCGGAGCAGGTGGCATGGGCTGGTCTGGGATGGGGTGCCCTGGTGGGACCCCACGCACACCCGGGCAGACAGCCCTACCGGCGGGACTGGACACTGGAACCTGAGGTGCTGGGGAGAGGATAAGACAGGGTCGGGTGTGGGAGAGGTCCGGTGGGGCGTCAGAGCAAAGTCCGCCTCCTGTTGGCTGCTGGCCCCCAGCTCGTCCGCCGGGCGTCTGGCACCTAGACGGTCTCACATGCGTTTGAATGGATGGACGGATGGTGTCTCCCTACAGAGCCTGGACCTTACAGCCAGAAGGATGGTCCACGAGGGGCCCCTGACCTGGAGGATCAGCAAGGATAAGAGCTTGGGTAGGTGTGCGGGAACTGGGCGCACACCCAGGGGGCCACGGGGGGGGCAGACCGCCCGACGGCCTCTGGCCCTGCGTGGCCCGGGGGCTCCTGACGGCGCGCCCCCTGCAGACCTCCACGTGCTGCTGCTGGAGGACCTCCTGGTGCTGCTGCAGAAGCAGGACGAGAAGCTGCTACTCAAATGCCACAGCAAGACGGCCGCGGGCTCCTCGGACAGCAAGCAGACCTTCAGCCCCGTGCTCAAGCTCAACGCCGTGCTCATCCGCTCCGTGGCCACAGGTGCCCGCAGGGCGGGGGGGCAGCCCGGGGGCCACGCTCCCCGCTCCCTCGCGGACCTCCTGAGCCGGAGGATGTGGCCCGGGATGGGGGGGCAGCCCGGAGCGCAGAGGCAGGAAAGGGCCTTGGGCTCACTGTCTTCGTCTCTCCCTCGGGCCGAGGCCTGCCCTGCCTCCGGGGCTTGTGGGCGGTGATGGGCTTCGAAGCCCCTGGCCCTCCCGCCCTCACTGTTAGGAGCGGAGGGAGGGGGGCGGCTGAGAAGGGACACGCGAGTGCCGTCCCGGCAGTGGGTCCCGCGTGGTCCGCTGACCCGGTGCGTGTCCTGCCGCGGTCCTCGCCCCGAGTGGAGGGTCGGGGCTCCGAGGCTGCCGTCGGCCTCTGCCGCCCGCACTGACCCTCCCCGTTCCTCCCCACACAGACAAGCGGGCCTTCTTCATCATCTGCACCTCGAAGCTGGGCCCCCCCCAGATCTACGAGCTGGTGGCACTGACGTCGTCAGACAAGAACACGTGAGACTTGCGGGGCCACACGTAGCTGCCATCCCCTTGGGGCCAGGGCGGTGTGTATGAGCAGCGCACCGTGAGCGGGGCGCGGGCCGGCGGGGACAGGGCAGGTGCAGGGGGCTCCGGGGCCGCCGCCGTTGCCCAAGTCCAGCGTCACCAGTGCTCCTTGCTCTTCTCGCTTCTTCCCGCTCCCTGCCCTCGGGGTCTCCCTTCCCCTCCAGGCTTCCTCCGTCCACGTGCTCCTGGTGGACCCCCGCCTCCAGGGCCGCCACCCACCCACCCACCCCGTGTCCCCTGGGCGGCCGATGGGGGGCGTGACTCGGCACAGACTGGTTGAGTCAGACGGTGTCTCAGGGTCAGGACTCCTCTGTGGAGCGTGGGTCTTGCTGCCTCTCGGCCTCGTGTGGAGGAGGCGAGCAGCTAGACCGTGCCTCGGCCAGAGCGCAGCATTGGGCCGGCGTTCCGTGGCACGTGGCGGCCAGCCCTGCACCACCACGGGAGCCGCCGGGCGGTGTGGGGAGGGTGCCTACAGGCGGCTGGCGGCGGGGGGGGGCACGCCCCGCCCCGCCTCGTTCTCACCACCAGCCCTCTCTGCTCCTGCCGAGCCACAGATGGATGGAGCTCTTGGAGGAGGCCGTGCGGAACGCCACCCGGCACCCAGGAGCTGCCCCCACGCTCGCCCGTCCCCCAGCCCCGGGTGCCCAGGAGCCCACACACCAGAGCCCCACACCCAGCAGGTGCTCACCCGCGGGCCCCGGTCGTCCCCACTGCAGGCCACCTCTTTGCTGCCTCTGAGCCCTTCACCCCCCTGTCCTCTGTCCCGTGTGCTCACCCCCAGCTGGCTGTCCTGGAGACCACGCCTGAGGTGGGGTGCAGGGTATGCCGCGGGGACCAGGAGAAGCTGGCCGGCATCCACCCTCCCCCCCAGGTTGCCGACCGACGGCAGGTGCCGAAGCCTCACACCTCCCTTTACAGACCTGCCTTCGCTGCCCATTCTGACGCAGGAGGCCAGGGAGCATCCGAGACCTCGCCCCTCCTGGCTGGCAGAGAGTCAGAACCCCGGCGGGTGACCTCTGGTGGTTTCTTCCCTCAGGGTCCGGCTGGATGGCTCAGAAGTATTCCACAGTGAACCAGAGCCCGGGGAGCTGCCCGGAGGTATGTCCCCTTAACTGTCTTTGTGGGAACCCCCTGGTCCAGTGTCGGTAGGACAGGTCGGGAGGTGATGGGAGAGGCCGTCAGGGCCGGAAGTGTGAGGTTTGGATAAGAACAGAGAAGTGAGTGAGAAAAGGGGGTCCAGGAGGGAAAGGAGAGCGGACCTGAGCAAGTGTAGACGAGCTCGCTTGGATGGAGGTTCCGACCCTGGCTCTCTGGGGACAGGTATTTGGCCGTGGAGGGAGAAGCACAGTGGGGTGGAGTCCAGGGGCCCCTGCTTCCTGCAGCTGAGCGTTTCCGTGGAGAATGACATGCCTGTGGGACACCGTCCCTGGGATGGGGCTGGCGGGGGGCGAGGGGTCCCACACAGGAATCTCACTGAGAGTTTCTTCGGGGAAGAACATAGAACCCTGGGTTTAGAGAGAAATCTCCTGGCGGGCTCCGCGTCTGGGTCCCTTTTCTGCCCCCTCCGGTCTGTGCCTTCTCTGGCTCTCCGTCAGCATTGTAAACAGCACTGCCCACCCGTGTTTCTCAGAGAGCTCCCTGAGTGTCTCCTGACCAGAATTTAAGCTCCACGTGGGCGGGGATCCTTGTTTCATTTCTGGTGTATGCCAAGAGCCTGGGACGGTGTCTGGCCATAGTAGGTGCTCAGTAAACATGCGTGGAATGAATCAGTCAGGGTTCCAGCCCCTCGAATCCAGAGCCGGGCATGGGGTCGGCCCCCACGTGCCTTCCCTCCCCTGCCTTACGCTGCCCTCCCATCCGCAGCGGGCACTGGGCCCCAGCCGAGGGCCAAGGGGAAGCACCCGGCCCTGCTGGAGGATCCCGAGCAGGAGGGCAGCCTAGAGGAGGAGCTGGGTGCCCTGCCTCACCCCTCCGCAGCCCTGGGTGGAGAGAGCAGGGGCGGCCGGACGAGAGACCCCATCCTCCTGCCCCTCGCAGTCCCTCTGTTCCTGGACGGGCTCGCCGACTCAGCCCTGGAAGACGGTGAGTGCCTGCCGGCCCAACGGCCCCAGTGTGCTGGCCAACACCTGCAGCCCCCACCTGCCAGAGGGCTCTCCCTGCACCCTCTTGAGGAGACCCTTGTGACCCCCTGTCCCCACCACCAGCTCCGCCCTGTGACGTTGGGAGTCGGCGGGGGGAGTAGCACCCCCATGCCGTCCCCGGGCCCCGTGCCAGGGAAGCCAGCATCCTCTTTCCCCTCCAGTGGAGAGCCTGCGGCACCTGATCCTGTGCAGCCTGCTGCCGGGTCACCCCCCGGAAGCACAGCCCGCCGGGGAGCCCGAGGACGACCTCACCCCTACACCGTCTCTCGTGAGCAGCACCTGTCACCCCGCGGGCCCTGGCTCCCCACGGCACGCCCCCCCTGGGGGTGAAGGACCAGAGCAGGAGGACGCGGCTCTGTGCCCTCTGGAGCGGCTGCCCCCCCGGGCCAGGAATTCTGGGGTCTGGGAGTCTCCCGAGCTGGACAGGAACGCAGAGGAAGAGGCCTCAAGCACCGAGGCAGCAGGGAGTTACAAAGTCGTGAGAAAAGGTAAAGTAAATCAGCTTGTCCCAACGAGACAGGCTGACCAGGTGGAGGCGAGTCTCCCGGACGCCTCATCCTCCCGGCCGTGTGGGCAGAGGCTCGCGCCGGGGCCCGGGAGGGGACGCTGACGCCGCACAGAGGCTTTGGGGTCGGACCGCCGGGCTTCAGAGCCCATCCCCTAGTGTCCGTGTGACCCTGAACGTGACCGTAGCCCAAGGACGTCAGCACTGCCTTGCCCACCAGCGTCCTGAGGAAACCGGGGGGGCTCACCTGACACGGGGCCCCGGCGGCATGGGAGGGTCACACGACCGAGCCGGGAGGGTGCGTGGCCACCCGACGTGGCCGGAGCGGCCGTGGGCAGCGTCAAAGCCCGAAGAGCCAGGAGCAGCTGGGATGGGGGCTCCAGACGGCTTTGGGCAGAGCAGTGAGCCGAGGGAGGGGGGTCCCCCACCAGGAAGGATGGAGTGAGGCAGGTGCTCCCGAGGGGCCAGGGTGGGGTCCCGTCCTCCGCTGCACTTCTCGCCCTGTCTGCCCGAGGCGCCCCCTCTCCTGGTTTCTGGGAACTGACCTTCCTTCTCTGCCCTTCGGTGAACCGGTGGACGGCTTCTCTGCAGCACCCTGGGCGTCTTCAGTGCGACCTGTGTTCACTTTGTTGTCCCTTCTTTTTCTCCCCCTGCTGCCTTCGCCCGCCTTCCTGCCCCCCTCTTCTCCCCTGCTCCCCCTCCCCTGCCCTGCCTGATCCCCCTCCTCTCCCGTTCCCCCTCCCCTCCCCTGCTCCCCTTTCCCCTTCCCTGCTCTCCTGGTCTCTGCTCTCCCTGGTGGTGGCGGCGGCTGGTGGCGGCTGGTGCAGCTGAGGTGGTGGGCAGCAAGGCTGTGCCCCCAGAGAGCGGCCAGTCAGGGCCTGAGCCACCCGAAGTGGAAGGCGGAGCAGAGGCGGCTGGTAATGATCTTCCCCTTGGAGCCAGAACCAGGCCAGGGTTGGAGTGTGGGGCTGCGGGGGGGCAGAGCCAGGCTTTGGGAGTTGACCACTGCCTGCACTCACAGGGCGCTCCCCTGTGCGTCCTCTGGACCCCACGAGGAGTAGCACCTGGGGACAGGGGAGAGCCCCGGGCGCTAGTCGGGACACTAGTTGGTGCTGGGTCCTGAGACAGGGTCGGGAGGCGCAAGGGGCCCGGAGCCCCACGTCCTTGGTGTCTCCCTTCCCCTCCCGCCGTGGCTGACCCCATGTGAGCCCAGGGGCCTGTGGGATCCTGCAGGAGACGGCAGGGGGGCAGGGGGCTGTGAGGACGTTCATGGCAGAGCTTGAGACGGGGCAGATGTGAAGGAGCCTCCCTGTGCTCATTTCCCCACCAGCCCCCCTCTCTACTCCTCCTTCAAGGACTGGGAGGCGCTCCCGTCTCCTTATCCTCCACCACTGAGCATTTTCCCTCCCGCGTAGGCTAAGCTGAGCAGAAGGGCCATCGAGAAGGCTTTCTGGAGGAGGAGGGCCTTTCGGGGACGGGTGGGCAGCGTGAGGCCAGCATGCGCGGAGCTTGTCCGCAGGATGGCATCCCCAGCCCCCCGGGTCGGTGTGGTTAGCACTGGGGGCACGGGAGGTGGTTCCTGCTTCCTCTGTATCCGCCTCCTGACGTCCTTCTCTTGCCCGGGGACAGGGAACTGCTTCTATGTCAGCATGCCAGCAGGACCTCCGGACTCCAGCACCGAACCCTCCCAGCCCGACGGCCTCCCTCCCTGGCAGCTGCGGGGAGGCAGTGGAGGTCGCCGGCGCCCCAGCCGCTCCCCACCCAGCCTGGCCCTCAGAGACGTGGGCAGCATCTTCCGCACCATCGAGCAGCTCACCGTCAAACTCAACAGGCTCAAGGTGGGTGGGTGGGGCGGGGGGTTGGGGCCTTCAGCCCCTTGTCCCAAGAGCCATCGCCCCACGAGGGAGGCATGCCCTCCGGCCGGGTCTCTCCCCACAGCCGCCCTGGAGCGCAGAGCCACCCCTGGGCCCAGCGAGGGAGCGGCAGCCTGGCCCCTCCCCCAGGGCCCTGCCACACAGGGCCAAGGTCAGCCATTCCCCTGCTGCTCTCCCAGGACATGGAGCTGGCCCACAGAGAGCTGCTCAGGTCCCTCGCGGGAGAGTCATCAGGCGGCACCACGCCTGTGGGCAGTTTCCCCACAGAGGCGGCTAGATGGACAGACAGCTCCTTGTCACCTCCAGCCAGGGAAGCCCTGGCCTCTGACTTCAGGGACAGCCGCCAGCCAGGGCTGTGCTCGGAGGACGGTGAGCGAGGCGATGTCCTCATGGGGGGCGGGCGGGGGGTCCTCATCCCCCTGAGTGCAGTTAATTCACACCCTCAGCTTCAGAAAGGGATCTTCAGGGAAACCCCACAGAAGCTCCCCTAAAAATGGGAACCCTTCTTTGGATTAGAACGAACCAGGGAGCTGGCGTCCCACCTAAAACCTGCTCTTAATGAGTGGGCCAGCACGCAGCCACCCAGGGGCAGGGGACAGAACCGGAGTGGGGTGTGGCACGCCCCATGAGGGACCCCGGATGGGCGCTCCGGGTGGATGCACGGGAGGAGGCGCTCTCATGAGCCCGAACGCAGAGGGGGGGTGTTTGGGGGGCTGGGGGGGAGGTTGGGGGTGTCCCCCCCGCCCCAGACCAGCTCCTCACTAGGCTCCTGCTGCCTCACAGGCTCCGACACCCTCCTGGAAGACAGCACGGTGCATGCAGCCTCGCCCCCAGGACTGTGACTGTCCCTCCTCCTCCTCTGGGGACTGGCCCGAGGCGGGGGCACGGGGCCGTGGGAGTCCAGACCTCCTCCCTGTGGGCTAGCCGAGACCCCGGGGGCGCCCCGCATGTCGCTTGGTCTGCTCAGGTCCCGGTCAAGTTTCAGTGTCTTCCCCTCTCTGCAGCCCCCCAGGCCTCTCCTGAGCATTCCGACTGCATCTGAAAGGCCCCCCAGACACACAGGGGAAAGGAGGAGTCTCTGTGTAAATGCACTTTCTTCCTCCCTCCCTTTCTCCACAGGACCCCAGGGCTGAGGTGTGGGGTACCTCCGCCCCTGCCTTCTTTGTCACTTTGGTTTCCTATAAATATGTATGTACTGTATGTGCATCTCGCCTTGTAAATAACTTAGACCTGTTTTGTGTTCCTGGGGGGCCGGAGGTAGGTCCAGAGGGCCAGCTCGCATCTCCTAGTTAACAGGCGGCTCGGGGGTCAGGGCCCAAAGCGGGAGCCAGACCTGAGCACCGGGTCCCCCGGGAGCAGGAAGGTGTCCCGGCCCACCTGGCTTGAGAGCCCAGCCTCTGTGGCCCGAGCCGAGAGCTTCTCCCCTTGCCAGGACTTGTCCTCTTCCGGGGAGTTCCTGACCCCACCCCTGTCCACCCTTCCCCACCCTCTCCCTAGAGAAAAACCAGTGTATCAGGTACGGCCCTGAAAACTGGGCCCAGGAGGTGGGGCAGGGGGTTCGAGTGCTGGAGTCCCCACGTTAACCCAGGACCATCCCCAGGGGCCACCGGCAGTATTGGCCCCTGTCCCCATGGCAGCCCCCTCCCCACGGACTGATAGAATATACACACTGTGCTAGGTGTATATATACATATATATAAATATATATATAATATATAAAATATAGAGATGGAAATGACTGTTTTCCTGTTAAAATAATGTATACTCTTGTATTTTCTTTCTCTCATGGTTAAGATTTTTTTTTTTTTTTAAGAAAAGTTAAATATTCTTCAACCGTGGTGGTGTGCGTGTGATTTCTGGAACTGCTCGGATAAAAGATACTGTGGTGGTTCTCAGGATTGGGTGGAGGACACAGAAGGCAGCCCCCACCCCTGACATCAAGCCCCCGGGCCCCGCTGTGGCCAGAGACCCCCCGTCCTGTGACGCGTGCTCACCGAGCCGCCGTCGGGCAGACTAGGTTACACGGCCCCACGGCCAAAGGGGAAAAGACACAGAACCCACGCCATCGAAACAGGCGGTGGACCCAGAGTCGGGGGACCTCAGCAGCTGCCTTCCATGAGCCCCAGGACTTTTTTTTTTTTTTTAAAGATTTT